TACACACACACCTTGATGTATGTATTCTATTTGTTGTTGTTTTCTGAGTCTGGGTTTCTCTGTGTGTAGTCCTGACTGTCCTGGAACTCACTTTGTAGACCAGGCTGGCCTCTAATTCACAGGCATCTTCCCAACAACAGTTTCCTTACCTCCTCTCCTCCCGGTCCCCATCCCCCCAGTCCCCTCCTCTGGCTTCCCATCTATCCCCCTCCCCTTCCCCTTTCACTCCTCCTCAGTCTCCTTTCAGAAAGCTCAGGCCTCCCATGGACTTGAACAAATCATGGCACATCAAGTTGAGGCAGGACCAAGCTCCTCCCCTTGCATCAAGGCTGGCCAAGATAATACAGCATGAGGAGCAGGTTCCCAAAAGCCAGCTGAGTTCCAGGGACACGTCCTGCTCTAACTGCTAGGAGCCTTACAAAGAGACCAAGCTACACAGTTGTCACTCACATGCAGGGGGCCTAGATGGGTCCCATGAGGCTCTCTGGCTGCATTCTTGATGTCATCCTCCAGCCTGGAAACTGCTGCTCATCTCCTTGGTCTCATCTGCTGAAGCTTTCGGCTGTGCTTCTGACTGGATTGCTTGGCTCTGTCGTTCTCAGTTTTCCTATTTTCTGTCAGGGTCTTCACTACCTTGCTGATTTTTTCCTTTGTGTCTTTAATTACCCTTTCCAGCCACTGGTCCTTCCATCCACTCTGCTCATTTTCTCACCTGTGCCCTGAAATGATGCGCTGACTTCATTCATCAGTTTGCTCTTACATGTGGTCATGGATCCTCTGCAGAGTGGGACTCTGGAATGGTTTTCAGACTTTAGCCCTCCTTCTCCTTGATTCCGGTGGTGGGCTCTTCTGTCTGAAGGTGTGATGATGGTAGATGCTTTCTCATTGTGTGCGTGCCTGTGTACGTGAGTGCGTGCATGTGTGCACGTGTAGAGTTTTGCACACTGTTAGAGTGGATGTTTTTCTCCTCTAGTTTTTAGTTCTCATTTGTTCCCGCCCCTTTTGCCTCTTTTATGTTATGTGAGTCTGCTTGCTGTGCTGTGTTCAGCTAAGTTTATGTTTCCCACAGCAGTGTGTACAATGGGGGAGGACAGCAACCTCAGCAGATACAGTGATTGACAGGCAGCCCGGCTTAACCTGCAGTGGAACAATTCTGCTTCACCTCTGGACCTAGGAAGGTCCAGAGACAGTGGCAGTAGAGAGTTTTGTCTCCATGTAGTCTCTTCCTAGGCAAGCCTTTAAACAGGTATATACTCACTTATAAGTGGGTATTAACTATTAAGTAAAGGATAATTATATTACCATCCACAGACCCTTAGAGGTTAATTAACAAGGAAGGCTGTAGGGCAGATGGCATATGGATCTTCCTGGAAATAGGAAATAGAACAGATTTTGTACTTGGACTGGGTACAGATGGGGATGGAAATAGGGTGGAAATGAGGGATGGAGGAAGAGAGAGTATGTGGAGAGACTATTAGAATTGGAGAGCATTGGGTGAATGGAAACCTACTACAATGGTTTCCCTGGAATCTACAAGGGTGATCCTAGCAACGACTCTTAGTGATAGAGGATACGAAGCCTGAGCAGGTCATCTTTGTAACCAGGAAAGGCTTCCAATGGTGGTACTGGGTCATCAACCCAGCCACAAAACCTTTGACCTACAATCCGTCCTGCCTACAGAATATTCTAGGGCAACAGTAGCAGAGAACTTGTAGGAAAGGGCCAATCAATGGCTGGTCTATGCCCATGCCCATGTCACAAGACCCATGCTTGGCACTCCAGATAATCCAGAGACTTAGGATAGAACAAAACATGACTGCCCCTCCAAAACAAACATGGTGAAATGATTCTTAATGATGTTCTACTACACTCATAGATCAGTACCTAGTCCAGTCATCATCAGAGTGGCTTCCTCCAACAGTTGATGGGAGCAGATGCAGAGACCCACAGCCAAACAGTAGGCAGAGAGAGAGATCCCAGGTTGGAGGTCTCCATAGGGTCCCTCCCCTTGGATCTTGGGAAGTCCCAACAGTAGAGGGGGGGAGGAATTGTGGGAGCCAGAGGACACCAAGAGAGCCTAGCCTGCAGAATCCACTAAGCAAGGATCATAGGGGCTCACAGAGACTGAGAAACAACTATGAGGCCTGCATGGGTCTGTGCTAGGTCCTATGCACATATGTTATAGTTGTAGGCTTGTGTTTTGGGGGGATATTTGACAGTGGGAGTAAGGGTGTCTCTGACTCGTTGCCTGCTTTTGGGACCCTTTTCCTCCTACCGGGTTGCCTTTGTCCAACCATGATATCCCTGGTCTTACCGTGTCTTGTTATACTGAATTCAACTGACGTCTATGGGAGGCCTACCCTTTTCTAGGAGGAGGAGGCGGGGGTGGGGATAACTGGACCTGGGAGAGAGGGGAGGTGGGGAGGTGGGGGGAGAACTGGAGGGAGGAGAAACTGCAGTCTGGATGTATTGTATGAAAGAAGAATTCACTTTACTAATTTGTGCTTTGTACAGTTGGAAACAGTTTTCGCTCTCCCCACTCCATTTCAGGAGCCTTTGCAAACTGTGTGAACCACATTTGCCCCAAACACTGACGTTTGACTCAGGAAGTAAAGTGGGAGGTAGTGAGCTGAATGTCTGTGCCTGAATAGTCCGGACAGGCAGTTGTGGATTTGATCCTTGTCCTGACAGACTTGTGTAATAAGAGCCTAAACCAAGGTTAGGACAACTAGTAGCTACACTCTTGTTCTGAGCTGTGTTTTACAGAGACATCAAACAATTAGGAATATATTGGCAAATAAGTAGGTAAATAAATAAAATGAATGAAAATTTTAAAAAAGAACATATTGGTTTTAGAGAGAAGGTACAAGGTACAAGCAATATACAGGGAGACAATGTTCAATGTTTAATTTACATCTTTTTTTCTTCTTTGTTTTTTGAGACAGGGTTTCACTGTGTGTCCCTGGCTGTCCTGGAACTCGCTCTGTAGACCAGACTGGCCTCAAACTCACAGAGATCCACCTGCCTTTGCCTCCTGAGTGCTGGGATTAAAGGCATGCGCCACCACTGCCACCGCCGCCAGGACAGCATTTATGTTTCTGCAACAGGGTTACTTCACTCAGGATGATTGTTTCTTCCTCTGTCCATTCACCTGCAATATCATGATTGCATTTTTCTGAACAGCTGAATGGTATTCATATAGATATTATATCTTCATTATCCATTCATCAGTTGATAGCCATCTATCTTGTTTCCAATTTCTGGCTATTACGAATAGAGTAGCAGTGACCATGGATGAGCAAGTGTCCTTTGAGTACATACCCAAGAGCGATCTAGCTAGATTTTGTGGTACATCAGTTCCCAGCCCCTTGCCACACTGGTTTCCATAGTGACTCTGCCAGTCCCCATTGTTGCACCCTTCCCCCATGGGGGTCTGCCGACCAGCTTGTGACCAGAAGCTTCTAGCAAAACACCTCTTGTCCCCTCCTCCCAGTAAGGCCTGCATGCAAGTTCCTGTTTTCCGTCCATCCTTATTGTCTAAATGCTAATTCCTGGTTTTGGCCCATCCTTTGCCTGAGGGCCCTGGGAACGTAGGCTTCTGACCTTGGTGGTTTTCCACCATGCCTGACCAGTATTAAATACCACTCTTGTAAAAATAAACGCCATTCTCCTTGTAAGAATGAACCACTGTCTTTGTCTTCATTTACATCCTTAGCCCTTCACTCGGATCGGATCATTGTGAAGTGTTGTAGTCCTGTAACCTCAAACCGCTCGCTACCAATGGAGGTCCCACCGCCACCTGGAAAGAAGGAAAACTGCTGAAGAATTACACTCAAATGCTGGCCAGTGAGTAAGGTAGGAGGGTGTATTTGGATAGGGGTACCAAGTTAGGGGTACCGAGTCAGGCCCTAAATAGAGGGTCATCCCCCACAGAGGGGTGGTTTTGAGTCAGGCCCCAAGGATCAGCCATTCTCCTCGTAAGAATGAGCCGCTGTCTTTGTCTTCATTTACATCCTTAGCCCTTAGCTTGGATCACTGTGAAGTGCTGTAGCCCTGTAACCACAAACCACTCGCTGCACCCCATGCTCACCCTCTGCCTGCATCCTCCCTGACATATACTCTCATTTTTTATTCATCTTGGTCATTTTGACTGGGCTAAGTTGAAATCTCAAAGTAGTTTTGATTTGCAATTCCCTGATGACTAATGATGCTGGACTTTTTGGTTTTTTTGGTTTTTCGAGACAGGGTTTCTCTGGGTCTTTAGAGGCTGTCCTACAACTAGCTTTTGTAGACCAGGCTGGCCTCGAACTCACAGAGATCCACCTGTCTCTGCCTCCCGAGTGCTGGGATTAGAGGCGTGCGCCACCACTGCCCGGCAATGCTGGACATTTTTGAAAAGTGTTTCTCAGCCATTTGTCTTTCATCTTTTGAGACCTCTACATTTAATTCTATGCCTTCTTTAAAATTTGGGTCATTTGTTTTCTCAGTGCTCAGCTTATTAGTTCTTCACAACGTCCATCTGTCTTTCATAGTATTCAAATGTCTTTGGGCCCATATATTAACATGTTATGTGTCTCCATATGAGTCCATTAACCCTGAGCTTTCTACTCTCAGGCTCTCAGACATAATGGAAACCAGCTCCTGGAAGGGCCAGCTCTGATCCTGGCCTGCAGGGTGTGTATTTCACTACCATCTCCTTGTGCTTATCTGTCAATCACTGTATTCATCTACCTAGTCCACTCATTTTAACCTCACAACATGATGCATCGATATTTGGTTGGTCTGCCTTGTCCAATCAGAACACCAAAGACTTCCTTAAGATAATGTTTCTGCCGGGCATTGGTGGCACACGCCTTTAATCCCAGTACTCAGGAGGCAGAGGCAGGTAGATCTCTGTGAGTTCGAGGCCAGCCTGGTCTACAGACTGAGTTCCAGGACAGCCTCCAAAACAATATAGAGAAACCCTGTCTCGAAAAAACAAAAAACAACAAAAAAAAAGAGAAAGAAAAGAAAGATAATGTTTCCAAGAGACCTAATTTCTGGATTCTTCTTCCTGTCAGAAATTTTCATTGGGTTCCTGGGAAACTCGCTGCTCTTTATATTATATATGTACACCTTCTTAATTCAGCCTCGTCTGAAGAAGCCCATAGATATGATTTTCACACACCTGACACTTGTCAATGTTTTGAGCATCGTGTTCCGGCTGATACCAGATGTCATGGCGTCCTTTGCAGTCAAGCTCCTTTTCTATGATGTTGGATGTAAGGCAGTTCTGTATGCATACAGTGTCACCAGGGGCCTTTCCATCTGTACTATCTTGCTACTGAGTGCAATTCAAGCCATCACCATCAGTTCTAACCATTCCAAGTGGGCATGGCTTAAATCCAAGCTTGAGTCCTGCATTTTCCCCTCACTCCTTCTCATCTGGATCATCAACACCTTTCTCTATATTCCCATGGTTGAAAACGTAGAGGGCCAGATCAACTTCACTGTTGTGGGTTCTAGACATTCCCAGACGTACTGCCGAAGTAACCAGGTTCGCCATCACACCACCTTGTCACTTGCAACTGCATTAATGATTAGAGACATCCTGTTTGTGCTTCTCATGATGCTGACCAGCCTCTACATGGTGACCCTCCTGTTCAGACACAATAGGAGGACCCGGCATGTCCACAGTTGCAGAGTCTCTGCCCAGGCCTCTTCTGAGAAGAAAGCCACACACAGCATCCTTCTGCTGGTGGGTTTCTTCATGTTTTTCTATTTCTCAAACACCTTTGTCACCTTCTATTCCCTTCACAGACCTAAGAACAGCCAAGTATTGGATCTGATTAGTGGAGCTTTATCTTCGGGCTACCCAGTCATCTGCCCTTATGTTCTGTTGAACAATAGGAAAATTATTTCCACATTCATTTCTTCCTTTTCAAACTTTGAATGTACCTTTTCTACAAAAGGATGCCATGGGTAACCTGATATACAAACTCCCTTCTGGCTTAGAGGATTCTTTACCACATCTGACCAAAATAACCATGGTGTTCCTAATATTCAGATGGTTGGAACTGACAGATATTGGATTTTTTTTAATCAGCGAAGAGATTTATTTTTTGGCATGGTAATCTATTAATAATGAAGGCTTTCTTTTCTGTATTTGGAATGCTGATCTTATACTAGAATTTTCTAAGCTAGGAATTCCGAAAGACGTTATTAAGCCATAGTATATAGTAAAACAAGAAGGATTTTTTAAACTTTTAAATTTTGAAGTCTTATTATTGGTAAATGGAGATTTGACAAATATATAAAGTATAACTAAGATAAACTTTCAAAAACTTCAAAATTAGTTGGGCATTGGTGGTACATGACTTTAATCCCAGCACTGAGGAGGCAGAGGCAGGTGGATCCCTGTGAGTTTGAAACTAGAACTAGTTCCAGGACAGCCTCCAAAGCCACAGAGAAACCCTGTCTCAAAAAAAATATTCAAAATTATTCAGAGTTGCCTTCATTTTAAATAAGAAAAGTAATGAAATAGATTTAATAAAGTGGGGTGGAGAGATGGCTCAGAGGTTATGAGCACTGGCTGCCCTTCCAGAGGTCCTGAGTTCAATTCCCAGCAATGACATGGTGGCTCACAATCTTCTATAATAAGATCTAATGCTATCTTATGTCAGCAAGCACACATGCAGGCAGAATATGTATACATAATAAATAAATAAATAAACCTTTAAAAAATAGTTGTTAAATAATTTTCTAGACACCAACCAGGTATACAACCTTTAACCTACATTCTGTACTGCCCGTGAGATGAGCTTGGGTAATGGTGGCACAGAGATTTTAGGAGTGGCCAACCAATGTCTCATCTAACCTGAGACCCATGCCATGAGAGTGAACCCACACCTGACTTAGCCTTGCGTTCTACGGTCCAGAATCTGCATAGCCCAGAAGTTCATGACAGAACCAAACACAACTGGAGAAACGTTAACTATGCCTAATGACAGTCTCCAATGCTCAAATGACTACCACAATTGCCATCAGAGAGACTTTATCCAGTAACTGATGAAAACAGATGCAGAACCACAGTCAAATATTTGACCAAACTTGGTAAATCCTGACAAAGAGACAGGGGCTTAAGGGGATAATGTAACAGCCAGAGGGATCAAGGACATTACAAGAAAACCCATAGAAACAACTAACCTGGGCTCAGAAGAGCTCACAGATTGAACTAACAAACAGAGAGGCTACATAGGACCAAACCTACAGTTGTGTAGCTTGGTCTGCTTGTGGGACTCCTAACAGTGGGAGCATCTGGCTGTCCCTAATGCTTTGACTGCCTTTGCCCTTTGGGAACCTGTTCCCCACACTGGCTTGCCTTGTCCAGCCTAAATAAAGGTGAGGTGCTTAATCTTACTGTATCATTTTTAGTTTTGTTCAGTCAAACAAGTAGAGAAGAACGCCTGCAAGTCCTGATTTGCCACAGTTTGTTCATACACAGGAGAGGCCTGCCCTTTTCTAAACAGAAACAAAGGAGGGTTTGATTCGTGGGTGGAATCAGGAGATTCCAGGGGCATTGGATGGGAGGAGATGAGGGAGAAGAAACTGTGGTCGGTATGTAAAATAAATAATTAAATTTAATCTTCAAAAGAATAGAGAACACCATCTGAACACTAGAATACATTCATCTTTTTCTTCCTGTGCTCTTGACTATGGAAGTGATGCAACTACAATGCCTTGGTGTGATGATTAGTTGCTAGAATTGTGTTATAAATAAATCATATCTCCATTAAAAATAATTTTCAATGTAGACTTAAATAATAACAGACTTTATGTTTTCTCATGTACTCTCTTTCTTCTAGTTTGGTATTTTTTTGTCTTACTGGGTTTTTGCTTTTGAATTTGTTTTTTTGGGGGGGTTGTTCTAGAAAGAGAGAGAACATTAAATTGTGTGAGTAGGAAAGTGGAGAGGATCTGGGAATAGTTAGGGAAGGGAAATATATTGTATGGCAAAAAAAACCTTTAAATACAAAAGTGTATGTTGTTCAAATTCTATATATGTATACATGGTCTATAGTAATGCTTCTATTCATTTCCAAATTTATCCTGTTATGGATCAGTTCATATTACAAGGACTAATTTCATTTACTTTGTAGTGGAGACTAAAGTAATAACACAGAACTCAATGAAACCAAAAGCTGGTTCACTGAAAAATAAGATGTACAAGACCTTAGGCAAACTAACCAAGAGAAAGAAAGAGAAAACACACTTGATATAGTTCCGTAGGTCAAGACTCCTTTGGGGATTGCAAATCAGATATCCTGCATATCAGATGTTTACATTACAATTCATAACAGTAGCAAGATTGCGGTTATGAGGTAGCAATGAAATAATTTTATGGTTGGGAACCACCACAAAGTGAGAAGCTGTTTTAAAGGAAGGTTGAGAACCACTGATATAACTAGAGATGAGAAGGGGGACATTACAATCAGTAATAATGAAATACAGAGGATCATTAGGGAATACTTTGAAAACCTAAAATTCTAAAAATGTTAGAAAATCTAGAAGAAATAGATAAATTGTTAGGTATGTATGACCTACCAAAACTCAAACACATCTCTAAGGCACAATGAAGTTGAAGCAATACTAAAAGTTCTCACAAAAAGGAAAAGACCACGTTGCACCTTCATCTGAGATCTTCAGCATCAAATTGGGACTACTGAGACACCCAGACTACTGTATTGAGCACTTACCAGGTACTTCACTTCGCTGGTCTGATGTAAGACAGACATTATTGGACTAGCCCAACCACATAGTATAAATCAATTTAATAAGTCTCCTTCTAGTAAATATTGATTCTATTTGTTCTAGCGAAGCCTGACTAACACAAATTATCACCATGTCAGACACTTAAAGATAAACTGACACCAGCAGTCTTCAAACTATTCCATGACAATACGGAAAGGAACACTGCCAATCTGTCTCTGGTCCACCATTACCTTAACACCAAAATCAAATGGAGATTCAGCAAAGAGCCCTATAGACCACTCTCTCTGATGAAAAAGTTTCTTATTGAAATATGAACACTCAGGATGGTGTGAGCACATGCCTTTAATCCCAGAACTTGGGAAGCAGAGGCAGGCAAATCTCTGAGTTCAAGAACATCTTGGCCTACAGAGAATTCCAGAACAGCCAGGCTATACAGAGAACCCTTTTCAAGAAAGAATGGAGGGAGAGAGGGAGGGAGGGAGGGAAAGAACCAAAGAACCAAAATCAAAACCACATCTTAAAAGATCATATATAACATTTAAATTGGTTTCATTCTGTAGAAAGCAAGAATGGTTCAACATATACAAGCAAAAAAAAAAATACATCATATAAAATGGACTCACAGGAACTATTTGATGATCTTTTTGACCGGAGTGGGGGTGGGGGGTTGGTTTATCAAGACAGGGTTTCTAAGTAGGTATGGAGGCTGTCCTGGAACTTGCTCTGTAGGCCAGACTGGTCTCGAACTCACAGAGATCCCGCCGGCCTCTGCCTCCTGAGTGCTGGGATTAAAGGCGTGTGCCACCACCGCCCAGTTTGATGACCTTAATAGATGTAGAGAGGGCCTTAAGCAGAGAGTTCAGCATCCTTTCAATGCTGTGAAGAAGATAGGAATCAGAGAAACAGACCTTATTATGTCAATACTATACTAAATGGAGGGGGAAAAAGGAGTCCCTCTAAATTCAGAAATGATGCCAGGCATAGTAGTGCACACCTTTAATCCCAGCTCTCGGGAGGCAGAGGTAGGTGGGTCTTTGTGCATTTGAGGCCAGCCTGGTCTATATAGTGAATTCCAGGACAGATGGAGCTACACAGAGAAACCCTGTCTCAAAAAAACATAATAATGGTGATGGTGATGATGACAACAACAATAACAATAATGATGATGATGATGATGATAACAATAATATCAAGATGAGCCAGGGATGACCATTCAGCCCTTACTGGATGTGGTGCTTGAAGTCTTAGCCAGAGTAATAAGATATAAGGAATAAATGAAAGAGATACAAATAGAAAGGAAGGCAAATTATTCCTGTTTACAGATGACACAAATCTATAACCAAAATGCCTTAATAGTGTTACCAGAAAACTCATTCCTCACAATTCTCATCAAAGTAGTAAGATACAGTATCAAAAAACAAAAATCAGTGACTTGTATATGTAGGAATAACAAGCATGCCGAAAAACCAAGAGAAAAATCTGCTTGTACAAGCCCCTCTCTCTGCCCATCACACCTCCACTCCCTGAGAACTCTGCCTCTTAGTGCAGACCTGACACCCCTACTTCTTTTCCAAAGCCCTTCTTAGCCCTTTCTCCAAGCCCATCTCCATTCCTTTCTGCCACCCAGTGACCTCCAGAAACACCTTCTACCAGGGTACAGCAACCACAGTTGCCCAGGATCCAGAATGAGCAACAGCAATTGAAGAATAGAGCAACCACCAAATACAGACAAGACCAGATAGCAACATCAAGAAACACCTCAAACATTGTAACTCCACATGAAAACACAAACATGAATAGCCAACACAATACACCTCCTCCATAACACAGTACCCCTATTTCAGTAAACCCTGGAGTTTGCAATATAATTAATGGAAGCACAAGACAAGGACGGTGCATAGCTATCATGACTATTTTAGCAGCATCTTCCTTACCAGTGTATTTGTGTTAGTGGCCACACCCCTTTGGGCGTGGCTTCAGGTGTGGAAAGAGGGAAGCTGAGGGGGGACTTAATGGCTCATGCTCTCTCTAGGGTCCTGGATCGGATCTGTGTAAATTGTTCCCCAATAAAACACCCGTTTAGCCGGGCGTTGTTGGCGCACACCTTTAATCCCAGCACTCGGGAGGCAGAGGCAGGCAAATCTCTGTGAGTTCGAGGCCAGCCTGGTCTACAGAGCGAGTTCCAGGACAGCCTCCAAAACAATACAGAGAAACAGTGTCTCGAAAAACAAAACAAACAAACAAAAAAAACCCATTTATCATTTATCTTGGGTCTAGTGAATTCATTATTGCCCGTCTTCAGACTATGTTCAAGGAACTTAGAGAGGATATGAATAAATCCCTTAATGAAGTCTGTGGAAACCCAAAAAAGAATTGAATAAAATAATGAAAGCAACTCGAGATATGAAAGAAGTCGAATCGCTAAAGAAAATCCCAACTGGAATAAAACTGGAAATGAAAAATTTAGGATTTCAAACAAAAACCTGAAAGGTAAACCTCACCAACAGAGTACAAGACAGGAAAGAGAGAATCTTGGTTGTTGAAGACAAGATAGAAGAAATGGATAGCCCAGTCAAAGAAAATGTTAAATCTTTTAAAATACAGGCATAAGGCATCCAAGAAATCCAGAACA